TATATATATATATATATATATATATATTGTCACACAAGGCTGGCACAAGTTAAGTTTATTTACTTTTATTAGTTAGGATTTAAGATCGAATTTGACTTTTCTTATGTTTTATATATGTATCACCCGACTTTTCAGCTTATCAAATAAGTTGATCTGAAACTCTTTACATTCTAGTGTTCAAGTTTAGAGGGTTATGTACAGTCCTGCTCTCCAGTTAACTGAACAAACCAACTTAAGACTCTTCGCATTCTAGTGCTTGAATTTAAAGGGTTGTGTATCAATTGACTGTCCAGTCGATCGAGCAAGCTGACCATTTGATCACAAGTAGGTTTTTAACTGAGTTGGCTGGATAGCTAACACTAAGTAATAAATGTCATGATTTCCACATAGGCTTGATTATCATCATAAATGTGATTCATGTGCTCATTATAAGAGATAAAGATAAGGTGCACCTTACGAGATCGTCATCAAGTAACAAATTTATACATTCAATATGACACCAACATATATAATGGGTTAAGGGTTTTAAAATAAGGAAGGTTACATTCACCGAATATTCTAAGTCTAGATAGTAGCTAGTTTCTAGTGGTCATCCTCTATATCAGACAATATCCTTCCATTTGTGTTAGAGATGAGATAGGTGATCATAATCCCACTAGAACCTTTCAAAAATGCTAATAGTTGACTGACTTTGATCTTATATGAAGTCATATTTTGTCTTAATCTAAAATTTTCTTCAAAAATCAACTATATATTGATAAGTACGGGGCATAGTTACAAGCTAGTAGGGGAATTAACCTTCATACAACTCAATTTATAAGTCTTGGTTAATTGGTAATTTACAATGGTTTAAATGTAAATTACCTATTAACCTCAATTACGAAGGAAGAGGTAGTTTGATAAGTCTGTTAGATATATTATAAATGATGAGTTTTAGTACTTCTTGTACCTAAGTAATATAATTATCTCTGCTGTCCAAAAAAGAACAACAATAAGGGTTAAAATTAATATCACTCAAACATGGGACCTTAAATATGAGAAGAAATTTATGTTCAACATAAATAGTTAGATGCTGCAAAATTGTTTAATTAAGTGTTGAATTCTTTTTATTTTTTTACTTATTCCTCATGGATGATCATGGCAAAGCCAGTCTAGTTTGTTGACTATAGTTCCAATTCCAAACATGAAGAAAAACCAAACATTTCCAGGAACAGGTACTTAAGTAAAGTCACATATTTAGGCGGGTAAGTCAAGAATCATAGTCAAAGAGACAAATGTATAGGCATCCACTCACAAATTTAGAAATTATTCTTTTTTTTTTTTTCTCTTCCTGCCATATATATTCTCCAACTATTAGATCAGAGAGTAATTGTGCTACGGTTGTTAGTCTAAAACATTTTTGCACTCGACGAACGATTTAGAAATTATTCTGTTTGACCTATTCTATGTACAAGGAATCAATTCTCATTCATCCTCATAAAACATCATATGCAACGGTTGTTAATAATGGTGTATCTGTACATCACATTAATTTCAACGTGGTATACCTTCACCAGTGCCCAGGGTGTCCGTTTCATGCATAATAAGCAAACATTAATTTGGATACGTGATTAATTGCAAGTCGAACAAGAAATATTATTTTGTAGAAATAAATTCAATCTCGGATTCAGTTTGAATCCAGAAATTAACTTAGACAATATCAATCTAAGTCAACAAAGTGTATAATTAATATAACGATTTGCATCTGACTGCATTTTAATTTTCTATTCTGAACATGAACAAACTGCACGACGTGAGTCAAACAGTAGATTTAAAGTATATCAGAGTTTGCACATCGGATATGTCATGAAACAGCACATATGTAAGTAAAACCTGTGCTGGTGCCGCATGTGATATGGCATGAAATTGGTTTGAGTATTTATTTTTGTGTTTTTTTTTAACTAAAAATAGTTTTTGAACATTTGTTTTTTTTTTTAAATATTTGGATTAAATTAGATTTTATTCCCTCAACTTTTTAAGAATTCAAATTTTAATTTCAGTTGATTTTTTTTTTGCCAACTTATAATTTTTCGTTACATGAATTAGTTTCAATGGTTAAGTTTCCCTTTTAAAGTGATAAAATGTATTAATCAAGGGTGGAGGGAGAGAGACTTGGAGGGGTCATGGTCTTCCCATTTTTTCTAAAATATATTAAAATTACTTTAAAGATATTTTTTTTGTCTTTCCTAAAATTTATATAAAAGAAAAATTATTGGTTGATAGATGAAAATTATCATCTCAATTTACACTTAAGAAAAGAAAAAGAGAAA